ACAAGCAAAGACATAACAACAAAACAGTGCCCAGCCATCCCCAGAATTCTTAGAGGAAATTATATTACGGTGGGCCTGGTGTTTATCTCACAACAGGAGATGGCTCAGTGGACTTTAAAAGAAGCTGCTGGACATTTTTATTCGGACACTAAGATCACGTCCTCAGTATTTTATTCTGGAAAGGTTTTAACCTGGGTTTCTATAATTTAAAAGACATAAAGATACTTAATTTTAATTACTTTTAGGCCAACAAAATATATATAAAAAAGGAAGTAAAGTATTGTTCCACCAGACTTTTTTCATGGTGAGAAATACAATGACAATTCATTCTTTTACAAGTCTACAAGTTTACAATTTTAACAGAGAGGTCTAAGTTGGTCATAATTTTAGAGAAAATAGAGACAAAGTACTTACACAGTTATTTTAGCTGGTTAGTTGTTTAGTTGAGCTTTTAAACAGTTGTTATATTTAGGCTGCAACAAACAATTTTCTCGCTATTGTTTTGTCTACAAAATGGTGAAAATGTCCACAGCCCACAGAAGATGAAAAACTTCCAAAGCAACTAAAAAAAAAAAAACTAGTTACTAGTTACAGAGAGATAACCTGATGAAACTCTGTGTATCTGTCACGTTGTGAGCCAGATCAGTTTCCAGACCTGCCTCGGACCATCAGGCAGAATCAGGACAGGGAGAGAGATCCCTGTCCATCCAGCTCCTATCTGACCACACTAGTCAATTCCTGAATGACTAAGCAGAAAATCCCCCAATTAAAACGGACGGGCTGCTCGTTCGTGTGTGCGTGTGTGTGTGTGTGTGTGTGTGTGTGTGTGTGTGTGTGTGTGTGTGTGTGTGTGTTTGTGCGTACATGATTCATGCTCCCTACTGACTGGGAAAAAAACCCCTCAAACACAATGAAGCCCTTGTTCCCTGAAGCTATGACTGATAGCTGATTTTCCTATTATTCCTTCTTCCTCTCCCACCAACATCGAGGGAAAGGCCTGATAGCAAAACATGCAAACCTGACATGTGTTTTGATATTTTACTGCAATGTGACTGGGTTTGGTGGTTGAATCAAAGAGCAAAACATGATCTGCACAGATGTTCTACATTGCAGGCTAAAAGTCAAAGGTGTTTGAGTATTGAAGGCTGTCATGTACTAAACGCTAGTTCTGAACGTCTGGTCAGTGTCGTACACCTCTTTACTTCTTCGCTGATCATCACTTTCTGATTGAAATCATAATTTTGCCATTTTCAGACTTTATTGAGCCAAAGTTTTTGCACAGCTGCTTGTGTTTGCACAAAGTTAAAAACCTCAACTATAAAGTTACTATGAAAAACATGTTTTCACATTGATCAGATACACAAGCAACACTACAAACCATTTGGAGTCATGTTTCCTTCTTCCACCTAGCGAGTGAAAGTCCAATATTCACACTCGTTTTTGGCTGTTTTTGTCTCCACCAAGTCTTTGGGCTCTTTAAACTTCTAAATGCTCCGCTATGTTCACTAGCTAGTTGCTAACTGTGTCTGTTTGCTGTTTGGTGCTTGGCAGGTAGCGTTCAGTGGGTTTATCAGAGCTTTTTTGCTGCAAACAGCTGCCTACTTCTGCAGGAAACAGGGCTGATGAAAGTGGTGTATAGGTGTATTCACACCAGGATTTAAAACTGTGTGAAAAAAATGTGTGAGTTTGCAAACTGAATGTTAGCAAGCTTGTTAAATCAGAGAACTTTATTTTCCCTCTTCTTTGACTTTTTATTGAATGAAATGTCATGCAATGGTCAACAAAATACCAGAAAGAAGTAGACAGAACTGTAGGGAACTTAAAAATAGAGGTAACTTGTTGTGATTATAGGGCCACTCCGGCTCGGCCAGCTAGCAAGTTATTGGTTAGCTCACCAGCTGCAGCAGTTCACTAACTAGTCCTGCTAATAGTGAGTAGATCACCCCGCATCTGCCAACATCTATTTTGCATGGATGAGTGAATCTCACTTTGTGGTGTGACTACCACTTAAGTGAGCCACAGCAACAAAAAAAAGTTGCGGGTCGTAAAAAAAAAAACAACATTTTTACATTGAAAGAAGCTGAAACACAAATACAAGCGACCTCTTTAACAACCCATTCAATATTATTATAGTAGCAAATATGTACCTTTTTGGCACTGGTGCCGAAACATATCGGCTGTAGCATCAAAAATTTCAAATGATATATCCTGCCCTGCCCGTACAGTTATTTAATCTGTATATCACTATTCAAATAACTGTTGTGCCATAAGATCCTGAGAAATAGTCGCACCAATTACGACCAACTCAAACGCCCGAAGTGATGTGCAGAAGCATCCTACAGCCTCACCTGTGTTGATTTCGGACTATTCACATGCACATTTTGTGTTGCATAACTGATATCAGATCAGTAAGGCTTGAAGGTTATGGTGCTAAATTATTCTCCTTCATTAAAATTTTATAGCCTCAATCAAATCAAAGTGTATTAGTCTGTCATCAATAATAGATGTGAGTCTGCGAATACAACCGAATCTAGTTGCTCATTTTGTCTGCAGTGGTTCATTAGGCAGGAGGAGAGAGAGCTGCAGTCAAGCAGGATGAAAGCCTGCATGACCTTAGCCAGTTTTGCGGAGGATAAAAAGGCTTAATTTTGGAGATACTGTATCTGTCTAGTTGAAAGAAAAATGACTGTTCAACACTTTTGGCCTACTTAGCAAAACTCAGATAACTGTCAACACTCATCAATACATTCCGATCCCTTGTTTTACCTAGGGAGACAGTTTTATATGTTACAACTCAGACGCTGAAACAAGTAATAGATCTGGGAGTTAATCACGGCACTCTGAGATTACAGGTGCCACTGACAAAAGTGAACTTTTTCAGATTTCTTTTGTTACATGGGGCACAATTTTCAGGCACGCTGCAGATACAGAAAGGCTTTTGTGTGAGAGGAGGCTGTACAAATCATCAGGCTTAATATATAATGTGGGAGTCACTGACAACAGTAACAATGAGAAGAGACATTATGATTATAGATCACGTGATTAGGTAGAGTTTGTACAGTGAGAGGAGGCTGAGGCGTAAAAACCCAGCCATGCAAAACTTACATTAAAATTTGATACCTATTCAGTGTCTGTGACAAGCCCTATCAAAGGCCGGAGTCAGGTGTAAAAGGAGTCAAGCTGGTGTTAAAAAGTAACTGGTTACTTTAATATTTTTACTCTAAGAAGATATAGTTGCTAGCACACCTTCCTTTGTTAACAGGCTTAGTTACAATGAGTAAAATAAGCACACGTGGGGTTTATAAAGCACACTTTACAACATAAATGCATTCTGCATTTCTCCCATTTTTCTGGTTTATACTTCTGTTGATTCATGGTCCAAAATACTGAGACTTAAACAATCTACCATAGTCCCATGTAAACCCAACACTTATGTTCATACTGTATATGTTCAGTAAGATTAACTGTTAAACTGAGATGCTATTTGAGGCCACAAGCACCAAGCAGACAACACATCACAAGGATACTCAACATTTTTTTAATGTAATTACATAATCTACAGACTACAATCACAAGCCAATACTGCTTGTTTCCTGGCAACTTCTTCTCTCAGGAATGAATGAAAAGAAGTGTTGAGGAGCCCTGGAAGGCCCACAGGATCAGGTTTTCATTGAAAACCAAGTAGAGCTGGCCTGACTCAGACAACGCTGCACATCTTCTCCAAACAACAGAAGGACAGGTGTACACTAAAGCTGAATGTTTCAGATTAGGTGATTGATCAATTTGTTAAAATTACCAAAAATACCAAAAATTGAACTATTTTTGATAATCAAACAATAATATTAGTAAAAACATCGGCATTTATTGTCAGTGTAAACTGAATATTTTCTTGTTTCTCAGACAAAACAAGACATCTGAGTATGTCACTTTTGGAAACTGTAAGATGCATTTTTCACCATTTTCTGACATTTCATTAACCAAATGATTAATTGTAAAAATAACCAGCAGATCGGTCGATTATAATTGAAATAATCGTTATTATGTGTGCACACAAGTACTTGTGCTTCAGTACGAATTTGAGGTACTTGTGCTTTATTTATAACTCCCACACTGCACCTATTTAACAGCTACGTTATAGGAACTAGACTTTAAAAGTATATGATAAGCACATAACATATGTTGCATTGTTATATAGTAAATGTAACTGCTCAGCTGTATAAAGTAGTGAAATTATCTCTACCTGGGAGTTAATCACGGAGTTAATCTATCAACAACTTTAAAATGCTGCTTACATGTTAGTGCATCAGTAATAATAATACATATATGTATATATATGACAGGAGCTGACAGGAGCCAATCTGTGTGCAATTAAGTACACATGAGTACTTTTTTTCTGGTAATAAGTACTTTTACTTACCTTTTACTTTGATTGCAGGACTTGTGGAAGTGTTTTTACACTATTGTATTATTGCAAGGATCTGAATATTTCCTCCACCACTGTAGTATCATATAAGCAAAACAGCAACAACCATATAACAACCATGTTACTCTCACAACATACAATGCATGTACATATGTAGGTTTATTCCCAAGACAGTGGCTCATAACTCTGAATAAGTGACATTAAATCTTATTGCAAAGCTCTGCTGTGGATTCAAGAGCAAAAGCTTCACTTTAGAAGGGGTCAACTGACATGACCCCATAGCCCACGACATGTGCTAACAACATGCACAGCAAATCAGACCTGTAGCGTCTCCTCTCAGCTGCAGAGATGCTTGAGATCAGCTGCTGATGTTGATAATGAAACACTCAGAGAGAGGAAAGTTTGGCAAAGAGTGTGGATTTAGTGGATGCTGCTGGAAATCCTGATTCAGCTCAGTTATAATATTGTGTATGTGGGTGTGGGTGTGGGTGTGCGTGTGTGTGCGTGTGTGTGTGTGTGTGTGTGTGTGTGTGTGTGTGTGTGTGTGTGTCTTGGGACAGTGCAGCTGTGTACTCACGCCCTGGTCTTGGGGAAGCCCATGGACAGCAGCACGTCCAGAGTAGACCCATGTTTGACGGTGCTTGGCCGGCTCTGGCGCTGCCTTCGCGGGGTCACTTTGGCATACAGGTCCTCTTTAGCTGCCATAACTCACTGCTCCATCGGTATGTCCGGTCCTAGACTCCTCTGGTATATTTTCATTTATTTAACAAAGCAGGAATAAATCGGCAGACTCTTTAAACCAGGATGACTTGTATAAAGCGGAAGCACGTAGAGAACACCAAAGCCTGTGAGGAAACTAGCATTTTCTAGGGTTTGTGAAATGCTCTGTGCTGGATCAAGCTGCCTTCTGACGGCTCGCACATGAAGGGGTCAGCCATGGGAAGTCACTTCTGCTCTCTCAGCCGTGCCCCCGATTCACAGTCCCCGACCGAGGGGAGCATGTCTGGTTCCTGCTCGCTTCTCGCATCCGGTCCGCTGAATGAAAAATCAGATGCGCCTATTTGGGCTTCCTTTCCACACGATGTCTTATTTATGAATGGATCCTGAGTGAGCGGAGCTTCAGCCTGTTAAAGGTTGAAGCTTCAACTGCGCGGCCCCTTTTGTTAAAGGGACAGTGCACAGTTTGCGAGAGGACAGGAAATCAGTGCGGTTTTCATGCGGAATAGGGGCTGAACTGACAGTAACATACAGTCCTCTCGGTGTGACGTGCGGCTGTTACGCTTGTACACCATGATTAATCAGATTAGTTGAGGTAGTGTGATGGAAAGTGGCTATGTAGGGCTAGAGAATGGAAAAAGTTGGTCACACTTCCTGTCTGCAAAAGTGGGTGTCGACACTCCCCGCATGCGCAGTACACAGAGCAAGCCATCACGAGTTGCCATAGCAACATAAAGGAAGCAAACGTTGTAAACATATCTATTTCTATTCTATTAGTAGTTTTTAATTAAGTTATACATTTTATTTTGAAATGTAACTGGCAGCTATAGCTGTTTAATATTTGTGCTTACAGTTTTTGTGAGCTGGGAACTAATACTAAACTAGAAATATTGTAATAATCATAATAATACTAATAAATAGCTTTTGCTAATTAAGCAATCAACAGCTCATCGCGCTCATGATGAGACTCACGTAGACTGTATAATGCTGGATGGACACTTATGTACCTTTATGTATGCTGATTGCATGTTTACTTATACACTTGGGTGTATACATTTTGTTTTGAAACCTGCCTGTGGTGACATCATGGACTGGCACAACTTGGTCTTCTTTCCCTTATTTTCCCTTGTTATTTATATAAGTGATAACATTGTTGTGTATCATTTAAGCAAACTATCTGAAGAGGTTAAAGGAAAAACAAACCTTATCAATATTGCAATAAAAAGTGTAGCCCTTATGATTGGGTGATACACAGGTCACCATGCTCAGGAGCAGGACTCATGTAGACTTTAAAAGGCTGGGACAGCAAAAGTTGAGGCCCTACTGTTCCAAACATCTTGGAGAACTTGTACAGTTCTTCTGTGGATTGAGGCTGTCTCAGTGTTTTCTGTCTCTTCATGTTATCATATAAATTGACCCTATGATATTGATTTCAGGGCTCTGTGGGGGCCACACCATCAGTTGCAGGACTCCTTGTTTTTCTTGTTTCTGAAGATAGTTCTATATGACTCAATCAATCAGATGCCTCCTTGATTGTGTTGCATGATGGATAAGAATCTCAACATCTCAAGTGCCAAACCTTTCCACTGTTCTGTTTATATTTATATCTTGATTTTTAGGAATATAAAGACACGTTCACTGAATCAACAGTGGCTATAAACTTCCAAATCTGAGCAAATATATTTAGAATCAACTGGGTTGTGCTTCTCCATCACAGGTGAAAAGAAATGTGTGCTACAGCTGGTTGAAGATGGATGTAAAATGATTATATTAGTATATTATACTATATGTGTTGTGTTCTCAATTTCATAATAGTAGTGTACACTGTATGAACACAAAGGGATATTGAGGATGTGTACCATGTGGAAAGGGGCTCCAGGGAAAATCTGCTGATGCATGTGTGCATCTGTATGCTTCATGCACTTCATTGGATCATTACTGTTGGAGTGGTATATGGCTTAACTGCATGATTGCGTGTTTGTCAGCATTTTAATAACAAAACAAGAAGAGTACAATGTTCAAAACAGAGGGCTAAGGAAGCTGTTCACTGGGGTAGTAAAGTTTCAGTGGTCAATAATATACCTTCGTTTGTTTTTCTTGGCTCCTAAAAGACATAATTTGGCAGTGAGTGCACCAAACTGTCAGTCTTCACCTTGTATTCTCTAATGGGCAGCCAGTGACCTTGTCAGTAAAACTAGCTTGCGTAATTTCCCTGACACACCCTGGTTAAAAGAAAAACAGGTAGTAAAGACAAGCAATGCTAAGAGGCTTAACTCTGTTTCTGCAAAGCTGAATTTTAAGTTTTTGAGACATGAGAGCAGATTCAATTTTATTTTAACAGTTTTATTAACCAATATGTCAAGCAAAGTTACAATCATCAGCTGATCAATCAGCTCCAAAATGTCTACAAAGGTCAAGCAATGTAGATAACAGTGTTTCCCAATTTCAATATCGTACCTTATAGATTATAGATATGTACCGATGTCTGACCTTTTCAAAACACCTGAATGCACGACCTGAGAATTTATGGATGTCAAGGTTAACAAATGATACAAAATCATTGAGTGTCATTTTAGTGTTGGGGGTATACAACAGAACTAGTAATAGGAGCATCATGTCAAAACCGTTTGAGTAGTTAATGATAATGATAAGACTACAGGCAAGGCTTACAAACATGCTGGTAATCATTTAAAAACTTGTTTAACACATCATCGTTAATTGTTTGCTTCAACTTGTTTGCTTCATCACTGTACTGTCAGCCTACACACTTTTAAAGATCAATGCATGAGCTCAGTCAATGTAGTTCTTAGGTTTAGAAACGTATTTATCAGACAACACAAAGGAGGCAAATGTAGTATTAGTTCAACTGTACTTAAAATGTTAATGTCATACAAACAGTCTCCACCACAGCCACAGATAAAGCCAAGTTAATAGTTTCTAGTTTGTGTCAGGAAGCTTGGTGATAACTTTTCCTGATTTTTAAATTGTTCTAAATTACAGATGTAAAATTATTACATTATATTTACAAGAAATAAAACCTTAATAAACCTTAACAGAAGCAGAATATTTTACATTACAACAGTTTGTGTAAAAAAAAGAAAAAAGAAAAGAAAAAGATAGGTACACAGACTCAGAGATGAGGGAGTTCTACTGAAAGAAATTATGCTACAGAGTCAATAAATGTAATAAAAACCTGATTGTGAGAGTTTTTAAAATTCTCTATCAAAACTGCATTTGCTGAGAAAAAGGTGTCTATTGCACTCATCTTCATTTCCTTTGCAAAGAAAATAACTGAATACATTCAAATACACAGATTTTTTCCTACTTGTGGTACTGGCATTATCCATTCTCCATTTGACTTGTGTTTATATATTTGGAACAAAAAAACAAAGTTTTCTTATTAGGAGGAAGACAAAATCAGAAACACACACTCCAAACAAAGGTGGAGAAACATCTGAGGCTAAAATGGGTCAGTAGTGGTCACAGCTCAATCTATTAAAAAAACCTATAAAAGTATGAAAGACGGCTCATTACCTATCTGCAGTAAATTATTAAATACAAATCCAGTCAATAGAAAACCTTGAGAAAAAAAAGAAACATGCTGAGATCAATTTAAAACCCAAGGTGCTCTCCTGTAGTGACTTCTGCTTGCAGACTATACCACGAAGGATGACTTCTGTTTGAAATCCCCCTGAAAACAAACATCAAATAAACATCATCAAAATCTAAATTAACTTGACTGTGATATAAAGCTTTTGGAATAACAAGTTCAGACTTACATCATCATCTTCACCACCATAGTCTGATGGGGGCTGGTAGACCACGTTGGACTTTGGTTTGCTGCAGGGAAAAAAAAAAAAACATGTTGAGATAGTGACACGGATAACCATCTACTTTATTGATGATCTGCTAAATCCATTAAAAAAGTATAAAAAAAAAAGAAAACCGTCTTACCTTTCACTCTTCTCTGTAAAAGGGAAAAAAGGAAACAGAAGGATAAATGACATGATAGAGAAGTACATACATATAGCTGCTCTTGTTTTAACTGACACTTACTATGTGTCTCACATAGGACATGCTTGATGTTGCTGGGACCAAGCTCAACCACTGAGGACATGAAGGGCAGGTTTTACACTGTCTCTTCAAAGACATAAAGGATGAATATGCATCTGAATCTTCCAATTAATGGTGAGCATGATTATGCTGAAAATGAAAGTGAATGTGACACTGTGTGCTTCAACCCAGACAATCCATGTCCCCGTTATCTGGGGGCTTTGGGGGATGTAAACAGGAAATATAATGTTGTCATGGCATCAGTGTCAGTGAGTTAGCTGTGGGCTGAAACTTTAGCTGTTAACATTTTGGCAAATAGACACCATCAAAAGTATGACAAATTAGCCTTTAACAGTTGCTGTTTACAATGTAACCATGGATGTGGGGACAAATAGTGAATTTGTCCCCGCATCCATCCAATTTCAATTACTCTGACACTGAAGAAAACTTAAAAAGGTGATGATTCTCAGGCAAACTCTGGGGTTGTAAGCAGCATCTTTTCACAGATTTATGGACATTTATTACTAATGGAAATAACGATATCCTTGGAAAGTGTAAGTCACACTGAATCTAAAACTATGTGTATCATGTCGGTGTGTTCAGATTGGATTCAGACTAAGTAATGACTCTGAGAAGAAATATGAATTTTGCAAAGTGCAGCAATCAGGCGCCAAGGATTTTAAAATACCTTCATTGCCTCCATCAACTGTCACAGTCAGTCGCAAATCAGCAGGCCAAATTACAATCATTACCCTCAGGTTGTTTTTAGAACACCAGCATGCACCTGCCCCTTTCACCTCACACAGTATCTTTGCCTCCCATCTCTGTCTTACTGTGACACCCTGTCAAGTCTCCCCCACCTGCATGGAAAACCATATAGGCAATATCTTGCAAACAATCTTGTTTTCCCCTCCTCCCTCTAATGAAACAAACACTTAACACATAACTGTGTGCAGGTCATGGGAACTTTTAATTATCAGAGGGCCCTATCTTATACCTGGCGCAAAGCAGCAGCAAACACAGCGCAAGTGTCTTTGCTAATTTGTGTAGCTAGCTCTCCTGCTGCTGCTGTAGTCAGTCTGTTTGCATGATTTCAATTTGAGCATGAGAAGATCCATTTTTTCTGCTGCAAAGCGTTCTCTCTTACTACCTGGCAAATCTGCCATAATAATTGCAATCTGCAGAGGTGCAGGCACACCTGGCTTTTAAAGTGAAAGGGAGATGGCACTCTGATCAGTTTATTGCATGTTACACCCAAAACACACCGATGATTAATTAAGAGACTAAGTGCAACCCCTTTTGCTACAACCATTTTTATGCTGTTAAAATAAGAAAAGTGGATCTGGACACCGTGTGCTTAGATCATTACAGCAGAGCCCATGTTACCCGATTTAAACTTCTCTTTCATACAGTGTTTTCAGTATGACATATTATAAAGATGTTATTTCATTCACTTTAATGCCTATTGGAGGTCAATGACTGACTTCATGCTGATAGTTTAATAAGCTGTAGAACACAACAGCTACCTTGTTTGACTACCTCCTTAACTTGTTAAAAAGGGGGGAAAAAGCATACATTGCCACTAACTTGCTAGCACCCTGGCTAGCTATCTCAGATTCTTTTACTGCTGTTTGGGACTCAACTATGTGCTACTTAAGATAAAAACAACTTTTTTTCAGTTTAATTTGAATAAGTTTAATTCCCAACAAACTAACTATTCGGAGGTGCAAGGTTTCTGGAAATGTCAACACTGGGTATTACAATATTCATGATCACAGTAAATGCTATGCCTTTCATATAATGTAGAAAACTCACTTGGCAGGTATCCTTTCTTGTTGGCATACCAAATGCCAAATCCCAGTAGGACCAGTAGCAGCAGAACCACTATTACCCCAGCAACAATTCCTCCAGCGTTTACGTCACCTTAAAGAAAACATGACATTTTGAGGTTTCATTAGCTGAATTAGTTAGTCATCATGGTGTGGTAAACTAGTAGACTTTAGTAAACTCTAAAACTGTTCCAGTACCCAGATTATTAAAACATAATTGAAAATGAAAGATGTATGATAAAATTATGATTATATACTCTTTTGACTGCCAAAGCAGTTTATTGTTCTCTACGATTGTGCAGCCCACTACACCCGCTGACACCAGTTGAATACATAACCTCATTGTAATTTATTTTATTCCATTCCCTCTCAAGGAAAAACTCATCAGCTCAGACTTAAGTGTGTCTTTGGAATTAAAGTGAGGAGCACTTACGGACTTCCATTTTCACAGCTTTACAGCGCTGAGGAGGACCAGCATCGTTGAAAGCCTCACAGAAGTAATCACCCATGTCCATCTTGGTTGTCTTGGGAAATTTCTGCAGACAGACAAAAGACAATGGACAACACAAAATTTATCATTTTAAAAATCCACAGCTGTCACAGTGCAGATGTGCAAAGTAATTAGTTGTAGCTGACCAGGTCGCCGTTATCTGGGTTTAGGCTGTAGGTAGCATTTTGGAAGCCAGACATCTTGTGAGGATCAATGGGCAGAGGGGTGCCATTTCTGTACCACTTGTATTTGGGAGGAGGTGAGCCAACGCTGTCATGGCAGGACAGAGTGGCTGGCCTGTCTGTCGTCACTGAGGAGGGGATCCTACACACGGGCGCAGATGGAGGAACTGCGGGACATAACGTTCAGTTTACAGCTGGTCTACTCACGTACAGTACGATTACATTACAGATCATAAATAAAGATTACAACAGAATATCAGTAATTTTATGGTGGTGCTGTGACTGTGGGTGAAGTATAAATGGATAGATGCGTTTTCAGAATATGATTAAAAGGGATCCTTACCCAGAACAGTCACCGTCACCCTGACTTCACCAAACTGGCTGTTGCCAGACACCTCACAGTCGTACACTCCATTATCGTTCGCGGTCATTTTGGAGATTCTCAGATTGCTCTCGTACATTGTCACTCTGCTGGAATATGGTGCTGTGGAAAAGTTGCTGAATTACGTAACATAACATAACAAAAGCATTCAGAGAGCACGGGCTTCCGCCAAAGCTGCCTCGTCCTCTAAAATTGTTGTTTATTCATACAAAATATTTGGAAACTTTCAATCTGAATCTGAATCATAAACACACAGGAAATCATGTGATCATCAAGTGACTTATCAACATGCAAAATTTGCTACTGTCATATCAAATTTGGCAGGATCATTTAGGGTGATATGCATGTGCAAGTGCAAAGCGAATTTAAGTATTTGGAATAAAATATAGGAAAAAAGTATGGGATTTTTTTAGTTTTTTTAGTCGTATTGAAAAATTATTCAGTTGGAAATAAATAAATTAAAAATCTCAATGTAGATTTGTAGTAGATTTTGAGATATGTTAACATGCTACAGATAGACACAGACAAAAAAGAAATGACCATCTACTTACTTGTTGGTTTACCATCAAAAATCACATATGTCTGTGAGCCTTTTAAGTTCTTAAATTTCCACTCCACTCTGGCATCTCGACCAAAGTCCGCTGAATAACTGCATCTCAGGTCAGTACCTGAAATAACAGCAACAACAGAGTTCACAATAAATCCAAAAAGAACACACCACTAGACTGGGAAGGTGTTCACAATTATTGTTATTGATATTATTATACTATGTATTGTGTAATGGCCTCTCTGAGGCCCTGACAGATAAGAATCCCAGGTTGAAGACCAGTGATAAGACAGATGACTTTTAGAGAATTAAAATTTAATCATAGAACTTCTGATCAGTGGGTATGTGTGTGTGTGTGTGTGTGTGTGTGTGTGTGTGTATACCTTGTGCTGTGTTTTTTTCTGTATTTTAATTTACCTGTGTTGCATCTCCATTAAGAAATTACAGCGTAACAACATGGCATTAGCTACACGCTGGTGAATGTGCACCTCAAAAAAATGTAACTATACTTTGGCTACAATGGCTAAAACAATGCCATGTGGTGACCATAAGAAGTGTGAATGGGTGGTTTTGGTTGTTTGTGTTTTCTTCTACAAGTTTACGATGCCAGTGGAGATTTTTGATTGAGGCCAACATACACCAAGCTGAAAAAAAGATCAGTTATATTCCTCTTTACAGTACACACACAAATCAGTTCCTATGCCAGAGACACCTACTGTGGGACCACTGTACACAGAAGTATAATCCCACATTTATTGTACTTCATACTTTTTTGTTGAAAAATATATAAAATGGATGTACCATTGCATAAATCTTCAGCTGATACTTCACTGATAACATTGTTTATTTACTTCCTGGCTTTTCTTCTACATTCAAATCAATTTATATTTTTAGGGACTCACCTTCATTCTCTCTCACACGCACATTTGGAGTGCTGGTAGTGACCGAAAAGCCACTTATACCTAGACACATAGACATTGAAATAAAACAGGTAATTAGACTTTAAATAATACATCTTTGTATTTAATGAACTGACGTTGGAATATATAAACATAATATACATACTGGAAACAGGCAAAGGAAAAACATTCATATACAATATAAAGTATATATTGAATAATAAGTACATGACATATTTTATATTGAAAATGCTCATTCATTGAGTTTGCTTATGATGTAATATTGCCTTTAAAGACCCAAGCGACAGACATTCACCACTTTCTTTTTTTTTTAAGTGCAATGTCTAAATTCTCACTTCCTTCAAGTACAGCTACTGCTTTTAGTCTTGATGGATTTGGTCAGTGACTGCAGTGGATGCAGTAACAGCTCCTGTCCAAAGCAGACAAAACAGTCATGTTGCAGTTACTGGGTTGGAAGCCTATATTTCTAATCTCTTCAATATGAGGTTAAAGCTTGGTAAGAAGCAAGATAAAAGCACTCTGTGTTATAATATTCACAAGAAGCAGCAACAGACATGAAGCCTGGTTAAACCAAGGCTGTGTTATGTTATGTTATGTTATGTTATGTTATGTTATGTTATGTACTCTCTTAAACTACACAGAATGTCAAAAGATGATTGATGGGAGAAACAGGAAGTACTCTGTCATCAAAATGCCAAACAGCAACATACCTTAAAATTTTCAATAGCATGCCTGTGGGCACTAGTGGGCCTGAAATGATTAGTTGATTAACCAACTGAATTAATTAATCTGCAGCTGTTTTGATACTTAATTCACCAAGGAGCTTATTTTTTTAAACTGTGTCCATTTGTTGGTTTGTTTGTTAATTTGTCAGCAGGATTACACAAAAAGTTCTGAAACAATTTGCACCAAACTGTTCGAGGGATGAGGCCTGAGAGACATTTTTGTCACTTTCTCAGGAAATAATGTTTGGCTCTTTATGTATAAAAGCAGACATATTTATGATGTTGACATCTATGAGTTTTTACAATTTGGTGCAGATCCAGATAATAATCCAGATCTGGTGGAAGAAAATGCTGAATTCGCATTACACAGAGAGTTGTACTTATTATTATTAATAGTGAGTAACAGTACATATGGCACCAGCACCATTTAGGAATGCTAATGCTTACATCATCATTTCATTGAAGATGCAAATAATAAAATGACACAATAACAGCAGCAGTTGTAGTAATGAGAAAATTCATACAGCTGTAGAGTTGTATTAATTGTCATAAATGATGTCATCATCTCATTCAACGGATAATAAATATAGGTAATGAAAATTTGTTGGATTTCTTCATATTCGATGATAGTAAACTGAATATCTGAATAAATAAACACTGACTTCTTCAGGTCAGGCAATTTGAATAAGTCAATTTGACCTCTGAGAATTTGCTACAGGTAGTTTTTGTTATTTTCTGATGTTTCTGCCTACAAACAATATTTTATACTCTCTATTTACACTAACTGTACTGCACTGTGCTTATTTAGGGTAAAAAGATCTACTGCTGTGACACCAACAGATGAAGGGGTATGATCGAAGCTCATCATCTCCACAAGAGCAGTTCACAAACTGATATTCTGTTAAAGAAAAACAACTTAAGATCAAAGAACACACCCCTTGCAAAAGGCAGAGCGTGCTCACAAGCCTTCAGGGTGTGGACAAAAAAAAATGTGGCTCATGCCTGTCTGCTGAGCCAGAAAACTTCCGGTGAAACCGTCAACAGTCTGGCTGAAACTGGGTCTTTTCAGGCACAGCAGTGCTGACACCAGACACGGGTAACTAAATCATTAATGCATACAGTGACCAGACTGTCTGTCACACCATTTATGCATCTATTGCACCACTTTACATTATGACACCACTGCCATTACTTTAAGTGTTGGGAGTTAGACGATATAACTACTACCTTGCTGTTTGACAAGCCATAGAGAAGCTTCAACTATAGAGAACAGCAGCAGGGGCCAGTTAATCATTAACTGTGTGCAAAGTCTTTCATTGTACACGCCACGCAACTTACAATGAAATGAAAATATAAATATAACAAAAACTTCAAAGTAACTTAAGTTAATAATTCAATTTTACAGATGACATTTTTATTGTGGATACTCTAATGACAGACAGACTTCCTCAAATCCTGCACACGTCTCTCACAGGTGGTCTCGGCTGAGATAAGGCAGCTCAGTCACAGTTTTGGTTTGGCAGAGAGATACAGACTTTCAGTGTAAAATGAAACCAGAGCACTCCATGACTTCCTTGTTTGCATACTTTGCGAGTTTCAGGGCTGGGGAGATAAATGTCTCTCAAGGTAAAGTGCTGAGAATACATTCAGATAAGAAAACCATGGGAAACTCACTTTGAAGCCTTACAGTAAAATTTCTATGTTCAGTGCAACAATTTGAAGAGGCCTCTCTGTAAGCTGCATTGTACAGGCTCTCTCAATAACCAGGTCAAAAGTTTTTCCAAAAAAAATTAGATTCAAATACCTTGATCACATGATGAGTGGCTGCTGGATTTGTGAACAGACATTTCTCAAACATAATATTTTAACTCAGACACAAATTTATAGATCTACAGCACTGACAAGTTACTTACTGATTACATTGTTGCTTTCTATATAGGTAAGGTGGAAATCAACTCTATTGGGACCTTCAGTATGCTCAATATTATTTTAACTGTGGCCTCACATAACTTCATTTGGTTTTAATATTACTAAAATACTACTACCTATATATAATAGTCACAACAGGACTGTAAAATTATTAATATTACAAGCTGTATTTGTAAAGCACCCTTCCTGCTTTCATGATCTAATTACTATTACGGTTCTTGCAAATGGAGAGGAAATAATACATTTTCCGTCTTCCACATATTTGTGGTTGCTTATATTCAGCTGATCCCAACTCCCAGGGCGTAACAGATCTGTTGGTCTTTCACGTTGTTTTTAAAGAGACATCGTAGCAAAAGTTGAAAATAACCTACAACTTTAAGACTACAAACAAGAACCGTTTTTTAATGCTCTCTAATATCAGCTTCGACTTATCATAAACCACCTGTACTCACAAAAGCAGAACAGATACTAAGCAGGCCAACGTTTTCTTTCCAGGACCAGGCCCGACGTAACAACACACCTGTTAACAGTTCATTCAGTATTTAAGGGCTAAATAGCAACTATAATTATTACTGTTGTTGTTGTTGTTGTAGAGTTAAGAGTGCAACAGTAAAGACATTAAAGCGTTGACTGTCCTCAAACTAAAAAAACCTTTGGCCAACATCACTCACCTGTCACTGCGTGAAAGAACAAAGCCGCCGAAACCAACCCGCTGACAAGCATGTTTGGTCCTTGTTTGTTCCACGACACGGTCCCTGTCCAACAATACTCCTGTGAAAACCAGCAGAAAATGCACAGAAATCTTCCTCGCGTCGAATGAACACCTAACTTCCTATATTTTCCAACTTTTAACTCACTGTATGGACGTCTCTAGCTGTAGTAACCGACTGCTCTCACCTAAGGGGCCTGCCCAGGTGACAACAGACTCGGTAACTTCCGGTAATGAGATCCTCTCAGGTGCCTGGCGACGAGTGAGTGGAAAAACAGGTTTGACCAGAACAACCCTGTTAGAAAACGCATTTACACAAAGACAAAACTGGGGCAATTTAGTTGTTTAGTTTTTGGAATGCGATATTTACTCAGGACACAGGACAGGTTGGGTTCAGCTCTTTGCTCCTTCCTCCTCGCTTAATTGTAGTTGTCCTGCTGTGATATTGATTTTCATGTTCTTATATTTAATCTCTTTCAGTTTCTGCTTTTCAGAGAGGAAAATGTGCTCTATGATGAGTCAGACGTGATTTTTTTTAAGTGTGTGAGGATTTGCTGAGCTTGTGTCTACAATGTGGAATTAACCACAAGGGAAATATACCATGTCAAATTATTTTCACTCTCCAATCTTTTACCTCTGTCCAAAGGTATAGAATTACACTATGTGGCCAAAAGTATGTAGACATAGAGACATATACTTTAGGGTGCTTGGACTGTTTTTCATGATTTGGCTTTGGGCCCTTATTTTCAGACAAGGGAAATCATCAGGCTACAACTAATAATGATATTTTAGACAATAGTATACTTGCAGAACTCAGAGCCCTGACCTAAGAAAACCTTAGATTAATTGGGAAACTGATTAGTGTTAGTGCACAATTTAACTAATGTTCTTGAAAGGGAGCAAATTCTTGCAGCCAGGTTACAAAAACTTGTTGGCTTCCCAGAGAAGTAGAGGCTGTTGTAGCAGCATCGTTTTGAAATGGCAGGTGTAATGTTTGGACATTCACATACTTAATTTAATAAACAGCAACAGATACTTTTGCTTATGTAACCTATCCCACGTGAGAGACTTACGTGTTTTCTGTTGCATTTGCTGCATTTCTGGATTTGTGCCACATTTCTGTTTATGTATGTGCTTTCTCCTTAGGGGCCGCCGAATGTAAATCTCAAAACCACCTGCTCAAACAAGATACTCTCCTTTGCATAGTATTAAACTTAGCTATTTCTTCATGACTGGAAACCCTGTAATCACTTCCTTCTTCTTTTTGACACTTTCCAGTACAATCTGATTGAACACAGTGCTACCCTCTACAGGAGATCAACAGCAACTTCAGTAAAATAGTAATTCCACACACGTATGTCAGATTTCATGCATAAATATATTTAATTTACTTTTACATTATATTTGTCTTCAAGAAAAGTGCCTCAAAGCTCAGTGCCACATTTCATTTTGGTTTGTTTGTTCCTTTTAACAAGCATTGTTCTTCTTTGTTTATACCTTTACATTTCAGTTCAGTTTATTGTCAGTATACAGTACATAGTACAGCAGTGCTTTTCAGTGCATTTAAATGATTGTGCTTTGGCTACACACCACCTACTCAACTATATACATGAGTAAAAATCCTTTACATTATCAGAGAAAACATTGCACCATAAAAAGCATATTCAATGTAAATGTATAAATAGGACCATCAATGAGGATCTGACTTACAGCCCTCTGAGACATACTGTGTATATATGAGCCTCGGCTGAACATGGATCATGTGTCTCAGGCACAAGTGAAAGGCAAAATAAACACTGAGTTTGTGTTTAGGTTTTCTTCGTCACAATCGCTGCAGGCTTTTATACATTGTCTCCTCAGAATAGAGTAGAATAGAGACTTTATTGCTCATGCATGCATCATTAAACAGTCAAAAACAGTTTTAAAGTTTTTGTTTCTCTGTTTATCACTATGCTAAACCCTTCCAAAGCTAAAGGTGCTGCCCTACCCAGTTCTTATCGACTAATTCGACACAATCTTCCACTAGAAGATCTGTGTGGCACAAGGTCGCCTCTATCTCCTCTCATCGTTTGGCAGCCAAGAAGAGACACAGGGGACAGATTTCAGTCAGGCAAAATAGATTGCTTACCTTAAAGAGCGATGAAACTCAGCAATAAAGTCACACAGGGCAACTTTGCATCACTATTGAGCTAGGAAAATTTAAATTGTTAGATAGTAGCAAAAGCAGTTTTCATCTCTTTTTAAAGTCTCTCCTATATGCAGCCCTCGCTGATATTTTTCCCCATCTTGTTATTAAGACTGTAGGCTAAAGCTCAATATCTTTCATTACATTGAATAAAATCACTAAAATTATTGAATGTAGATATTAAGCATAACTGAATATAGACTTTCAATTTTAGGACTCAGTCACATTTATGCTCATAACCTATTTGGCAAGTCTATCAGAAATTTATCTGGAGCCAACATATTTGTTCTGTACATTTCAGCAACTGATTATATGTGAGAGTACTGTAGAGTATAAAGTGTATGCAGTAGTACGTGTGCTTAGTATTGAGTGCATAATGCTGAGTATGCAGGCCTGTTACATACCAAATACAGCATATATTGTACATACATTCAGTTCAACTCATTGCACTTTGTGCATACACACAATTTGTGGAAAGGCCAATAGCAGTCACCAGATGATTATGGGTGCAGTGTTTAAGTATATGCAGCAGTTTGGCGCCTTGTTCACAGCCAGTGAATTTCCAGCAGCATGGGAAGTGTCATCAAGGTCAGCAGTAGGCCATGGCAGCTTTGTAATAGGACACTCCACGCTGAGCAGGGGAGGAGGAGCTCTGCAATAAGAAAAAATAATGCAAGTTCAGAAGGAGGAGCATTTTGTTTGGCGGACACTCAAATGTTTCCTTTTTGCGTGTAAAATAACCGGATGTGCACATCTGTGGTAAATAATGTCCATGAGCTCACACAGCTTACTTTTGTCAACCACTGAGGTTTTGGATGCCGTGGCAGAGTCAGGCTGTTTGATGTTGCAGGTGAAGTTGGACTTGCCGTTGGGCAGGTTTTTAAACAGCAGGCGACAGTTGTTTCCTGGAAAGATGCGGGCTTTGGCACGTTTCTTGAAGGGGGCGTGTTGCTCCTCATCTGGGTCGGTGGTGTCAAGGAGTCTTTCTCCTTGTGTGTACTTGCAAAATACTTCTGGTGACTCAGCAGAAATCGCATATTTGCAGTCCATCCTGAGGTGGTGCTCATCTATTGAGCAGTAGGTCAACTGAATCACCTTCTGGGCTGATGCAAAGCCTATGTACATTATAACACAAAGAGATGATCTGATTTATTCATTAAATCCATTAAAATCACATCATTAATGCAATGATGGGAAAAAACATGGAAATGTTAGAAAAGTATCCTCAATTAACATCATGTAAACCATAAATGATCTTACCAAAGAGTAAAATTGTGGTAAGCAAGAACATTCTTTCAACTTTCCTGAAAAAAAAAAAAAAAGTCACAACAAACTCACACCAGATAAATACTGCACAGTAGAAACAAACAGCTAGCTTTTTTTATTTGGCTTTCCTGTCTTTACATCTTTACATTATTGAGCTTCCAAGCAAATAAAGCTGACAGTGCTGTAAAGAGTAGGGTCAGATTTCAGAGACATGAATGCCACACTTCTGCAGCTGTTATTGAAACCCACAGAGGCTACTGTAGAAAAGTCACTGTATCATAATACTGAATAACTGGGTTCAATACAGCCTCACTGTTTACGCTGCAAAGAGATGAACTGCAAACTTCACTGGTGAACTGCCAACATTGACGCATTTCTGTCCTTAACGCTACTCTCTCGAGAACATGGGTTGTTTTATTTGCCTTTTATTTGGATTCAAGATGTTAAGATCATACATACAGCAGTTCAGCAATATCTTGTTTGCTTGGTGCAAACCTATTCTCGCCTTCATTCATATATTTGCTTTAGTGCTGACTTCAAGGATTTCATGCAGACTAAAAGAAAGGAAAAAGAGCAGTCTGTGTAACAGAGTTAAACATTTTATCCTAGCTCTGATTCAGCATATAATAGTACTTGAATCATTCTCACCTTGTCTGATGCAGTTTGAGCCTTCCTCAGTGCTCTGCAGTGTGATGCCAGGGGTAGATACAGTAGAGGTCGGCTTATAGAAGAAACATAGGAGAGAGGGAGGGGGACAAAGAGAGAGGGGGGAGGGGGAGAGAGAAGGTGGGAGAAAATGCTGCTCCAATAGACTTTGGGGACATTTCTCAGTATTGTATAAGGATTTTTATTGATCTTTACCCTCTGCTTTACCAGAGGACAGGGGATCACATGTCAATACACAAACCTCTGGCCTCATATCAAAAGTCTGAATTCAGGCTGCTGAATGAGAAAGAAAAATGAAGTGTGATGAGGGTTTGATTAGCTGGGACACCTCAGCAGCTGTTCTACATTCCCTCATTCAGTGTGCCGTGCAGTAATACCCTACCTGTCAGCAGTTTCTCAGCTACTTTTACCAACATAAATTAAAATATGTACATTTTTAATATAAACATGCAGACACTTCTATCACAACAACTATACTCCATTTACATCATAAAGGAAAAACAAAATAACACACAGGATGATACAAAATGTATTTGAGTATTCTGCTTAAAGGCTTATCATTAACAACTATATTAATATTACACAGAAGCAGAAGTGCTAAAATTAGACTATTGAATGGGCTATGATGAAGCCATGGCTGATGCAGAGTACGTTCACAGTAAGCCGGCTACTAAGAGTCTACAGCGATGCTATACACAATGGTGCTTTGAGCTAAATGCAACCATTTGGATGTCTGTGACAAATTTCAAAAAACAGTTGTTCAGATGTTTACTGTAACTCAAAAACACTAAACCACCTGGTTCTAGATGGATCCAAAATTTTATCCCAATCCAACTAATAGTTGTTGAGACTTTTCAGTCAGGACCAAAGTGGTGGACTGACTGTCTCACCAACATTGTTATTCCTAGAGTCAAACTACTAGCACAGCAAAAGCTTAATTGTCTGGTAACCCACAAGTCGGAATTAGCAACCCAGTGAATTAAATGACTGATACCATATACAAACTAAGACCCAGTGAAGAGCTGCAGAGGACACAGTAGTGGTTTTTATCATCAATATGATGCCCTCACAACACTACACTTTTAACAGTAGCGCACATATTTATTTTCTTTAAGTA